GGTTCCTTTGCGCAACCTCAAAAAGATCTCTGCGTGAGTGAAGTGACATGTATATATATATATATATTTGTGACTATGTAACAACTACGGACTTGCATGTCCACACGTGAATCATGGCACTCATTATGCCTGTCTTGTATAAATTACACGTCCGCAATTGAAAACACATTTTCTTTTGCTTTGGTTGTCGTGTATTGTGGTCACTTGTTCAAGCTGATGACTTATGATATCCGTTGATATGTCTCGTGTGTTGTCCGTGTGGAAATTGCGTGAGTCCTTGTCTAAACACCCACCGTGCTTGGCACGTTTGTTTGGTAATTTTATTGGTGGCGCTTGAGTTCTTTTGGCGCCTGGTATTTTTTTGCGCTGAGTATGTTTTTCAGATGTATACACTGTGCGCAGGTTACATTCCTTAAGTGCTTTCTGGTCTATGAAACCTACATCTTGTTTGGATCTTGAACTTGTTTTTGTAATATTTTTTTGAAAAACTGCACGGTTGCATTGCAAAATTTTCTGGGTTTGGTGGACAACTGTTTTCGGCGTGCAAAATACTGCTTCGTTGACGACGCGCTTCTTGCGTCGTTCTTGTACAAGTCACGCGTTGGCACATGTACATAAATCATCATACATTCACTGTGTGGATGTATCTATTTTCTGGGAAAACATCAAAACATCCTCTTTGCTTGTGAATATTGGGTCAGTTTGTGTGCTTTTGCAAGAACCCTGCGCCTGCGTGCCCAAACATGTATGTTCCCTGTTGCAATTATATACTTAAAGTATGGTGTGGTCTGTTCTTTGACAATAGCGTTCATTGTGCCTTTGTATGAAAACCGACTTTCATTGTTTGTCTCCTTTGTGGATAACATTTTTGTTGTCTGCATACTTTTCTGTGCCCAAAAAACAATTGCGCACGTAGATTCACAAACACTTGTCTTCCTTGATTTGCTCTGTTGAAATGGTTCTTCACAGGTATAAACTATGCACAGGCACGTGAACATACAATTCGGCCATCAACGAACATTCCTTACGTGCTTCATTGTCAACGAAACATAGATGTTGCCTGGGTATTTAACTGGCTTTTGTGTCTTTGTGTATACATGTCGCGATTAATTTTTGAAAAATTTGGTGTGGGTGGGAAGTTGGCTTCGACATTTAAAGTACTGTTTGCTTGACACTATCTTCCTTGCAACGTTCGTGTAATTTACATTCACTGCGTGTATGTTTTTTTTGGAAAACATCCTTTTGGTTTGTGAATTGGTTTGGTTTGTGCGTTTGTATAAACTATGCGCTTGCGTGTCCAAACATGTACCTTCCCTGGTGCAATTACTCAAAGTATGGTATGGTCCGTTCTTTGACAACGTTCATTGCGCCCTTTGTGCGTCAATTTTGCGTTCGTCCATAGATACATTGTTTGTCTCTTTTGGTGATAATATTTTGTTGTCTTCCGTTTCTGTACGAATCTCTTGTTGTGCTGTATTGAAATGATCCTTGACACGTAATAGCTATGCGCAGGCACGCGAACATGCAATTTGGCCTTCGGTGAACATTCATACATTTTGTCTATGGAACATACATTTGGTTTGGATATATATAAAATATGTTTCTGTAACTTTTCGTATCGACTATGTTAAACATTGTTTTCGATATTCCACTGCGAAAGAACAACGCTTTGAGCAACCCACGCAGACAAAACGCGTCAGATCTTGGTGGATGCTTTACAAGTGGGGTTGTCAGCCAGCTGGGTTAATTCGCTTCCATGTTTTTCGCTGAAACCGATCAAAACAATGGAATAACACTTGATAGCTTGGAATGTCTCAAGTTTAGGGGCTCCATAAAGGCACTGGTGACGTGCAACATCACTAGCATAGAGGACCGCGCCTGCAGTGGTTTATGTAAGGCTGGACAAGACTGGCGGCCCGCGCGGGCAGCTGGCAGTGCATCCTGCTGTGGGGAGCTGAGCCTTTTGATGCTTCGAAATGCCCTGCGTGCTACCTCGAGTTGGCCACGAATTAAAGAGATGGGGTACGTTGTACAGATAGACGGCATCCTTGACGTTGTTACCACACCAGCCTGTTTGTGCGAGGTCGGGCAGTTTATCCTGGACAACGCGGCCTCTGACAAGAGGCCAAGATTAGCCAAGATTGGTGGTTTGATGCGAGCTTGGAACCCGGAACTTGAAAGGGCAACGCTCTCACTGTCTCTGTCTCTGTCACGTTTTTTTTGTTTTTTAAATGTCTTTTGATGCCAATAACTTTGTCAAACACTGCAACCGTATTAACTTCTTTGTCTCAGAGCCGCCATTCTTCATGACTCGGTGGGCCTGTATCCTTGCAAACGTCACTACCCTTTGCAAGCTCAAAGAAGGACTGTCTCTTGGACGAATTTGCAAAAGGTAGTGAGACGGGTACGAGTACGATACATACTACTACTAGTAGCAAGAAGCTACTAGGTGGAGGCCGCCAGTAGGTTGGAGGCCATTACTACTATATAGTAGCAAGAAGCTACTAGTAGTCCTTTCTTCCTTTTGTTTTCTATAAGTACCAAGAAGTGCCAAGAAGTGGAGATTTTACACCGCGGCCAGGAGCGGCCTCGACGCCGCGCAGAAGGTGCTTTTGGACGCCAAGGCAGCGACAAGCTGGCCGACCGGGTGTCTTGGCGGTCCAGGTGAGTTCGGGGTTGTTGGGGTTGTGGGCAAAGAGATGGGACACCTTGACGACGGTATTTTATGTGGCTTTCACTGAACACGTTGAAACTTATTCTTTGAGGGTTTTAGGGTTGGGGAGGTACCTTGGATTTTGCCAACGCAACTTGTGCTCGAGTTTTTGAATCAAGGCCAGGAAGCGGATGCACAGGAGAAGTCGTCCATAGACCCTAGTACCGTTAGTAGTGCAGAAGTTAACGCACTGCTTCCTGTGCAAAAAGCCATGTCGAAGCCGAAGCACATTTGTTTAAGGTATAGCTTGTACGTGAAGAACGGCTACATGGGAGTGCCATCTTGTCCCAAGGCCAATCAGGACCTGTTCTGACACGCGATGCCACTAAAACCATGAAGTTCCCCTCCGGCGTAAGTCACGGAGGAATGGACTGAAGGAATGCCTTTTTCAATCTTTTTCGCTACAATCAACTGACCCAAAAATATCATGGTTTGCCCTCAAAACGGCAATTGAGTAGGGTTGTTGCCTCATTGAAGTGCAACTACTTAAGTCGCACCTTTTCTGTATGTTGTAAGTTCAGAGCGGATGGCCCGGACATGTCGCTTTTTTCAGGAGTTGAGGTCGTTGGTCCATGTTGGTCCTTGCAGGCTTTGTGTTTTCACTTTACATTCACGATTTTCCTTTTTGGGTCCTTGGCAGCTTGACAATTTGCCGATCACTAGTCCGAGGTCCTGAGCCCCTGAGGAAGCGATCAGGATCTCTAAGGAACCGATCCGCAGGACCACGTCTTGCGCTGCTTGGAAGCCTCGCTGCACCATATGCGCTGCATTTGTGCCAAGGCCGGGCTGGTGGAAGCTTTGCTGGCAGAGGGTGGAACAGAAGTTGGCCATGTGGCTATGTTGGTTGTTTTGGGTCACTTGTGATGGAATATAGCGAACACTCAAAGGTTCTTGGGTCGTTCGAATGTTCAATAGGAGCTGGTCGGCCCTTGAGTGCTGGGTGATCTGCAAGCTGCTTCCAACGGTAGGAATCGACACTCTATGACTGGGACATGTTCAAAAAGCAAGGGTGCGCTTGAGGTTTGAAACAGATGGTGGTGATTCCTTTGAAACATCCTTTGTAGACAAGGGTGACAGGAGATTGAATTTTGGCTTACAAATTGGTCCGGGGAGTCAGCCCTTTCGCATTCGATCTCGTTTGCGATGCTTTTGCAGTCTTTCGATACTTTCGTGCTGGTGCTGCTTGTACAAACCGTGCAACGCAACCTGGGTCCTACATTATTACGTTGATGGTGTCGGGTGAGTTCAACATGTCTTTTTCATCAACGATGTGGCTTTTGCATGCCAAACTGCCAGGACGTGCCCAGCTGTGGCTTGAGGCAAGGGAGATGGGAGATGGGCTTCCGGCGATTGATGGGGAGATGGGAAGCCACGGTTCCTTGATGGCCAACACACATCTTAGCGAGTTTCAAAAGGCCTTCAAGAGTAGCGGCTGAGACGGATGTCACTAACCTGACGAGTCCTTGGTAAGGGAAATCAGTGAAAGTCGAAGCAACTGCATCCGAACCTGGTAAGAATGTGCTGCGAAAACACACACCCCTCTCAAAATCAACACTGTTCTGTGCCTGGAAACCCAGCCTCGGTCTGTGGAGTTGTGTCGTCATCGTGTTTGTTTCTCGTCATCGTGTTGTGTCTAGAGAAACACACCAGCTGTGTGGTGCTGGATTCCCCAGACTCTGCTGGGATTGAAGCGTTGGACAATGCACTTATTGTTTATTTTTTATTTTTTGTGTGTGTGTGTGTTCCTGTGTGGTGTGTGTATGGGGCATGACATGCCACGACTGCGGCCGTGTGAATCGTTTGAGGCCGGATCTCCAGGGCCCCAGCACCACCAAGCACAAGGTGAGCATGGTCTATGCCTCTGCGATTCCTGTGAAGGCGCGTTTGGGTGGACAGTTGCTTCACAGGTCCAGTGGTCCTGGCATGTGTCAGGAGTCAGCAAAACATCTATCAATCTGAAACTGCAGAATGAACAATATCTCAATGCTTTTAAGTTGGTGCCAGGAGGAGGAGGGTTGGCTAGTGCCGTGTTGACCTGCCGCTCCTGACAACCACTTTTGTATGTGGCTTACCGTGTTTCAATTTTGGTTGGCTGAGCAGGCGACGCGTTGTCTTTGGACCGTTTGGCCGTTGGCATTTCCTGATGAGGCCTATCTCAATGCCGGAAATTTGGACGTGCCGTTTCAGGCACTGCTGCCCCGTTCGTGGGTCGAAACACCGGAGTCGACCGGTAGCGAATCGGACGGTGACGACATGAAATGATATGGCATGATATGGCTGTAAATATATAGATGTTATATAAATGGATGTTAAATGGATCCAAATGGGCTAAATGTGTTTTTTGCTGGGATTGAGGGTGTCTCAAGTAGACCAATCATCCTTGCTTTCGTGTCTCCCCCCTGCGGAGAAACTCCTACAACTCTCCACGCGATGGATTCCAGGAGGAAGTTGGACGGCTGGTGATTGTCTCTCAGCACCACGGCCGGACACAAGGCAACTCCAGGATAACGGGTTCAGTGCGCAAGTCCGGAGCCAATCATTTTTGCAACAAACAAGGCGGTTGGCAAAGGACTTGCCACACTCGAAGACCGACACGTGCCCCAAAAATAGATAGATATTGGACACTTTTCAGAGCCTGAGGTATTTCGGCGCTTTGCGCTTGGCCTACGAGGCTGCGAAGCCGGGGACAAAGCAGAAGATCTTCTTGATGCCCTTAGGAGGCCGGAGGCGTGAGGATCCTGGGTGCTTGAAGAGGGTGGACCTAGACATAGATAGATAGACATAGTGACATAGTGTCTTCCTCAGTGATGTGTCGCGTACCTTGAATGTTCTTCTTCCATGTTCCTTTAGATTAATCTAAAACTCGAAAAACGAGGTCAATGATCAGAAAATTCTATTCCTAGATTGCCGGTCTAGACATTAGCAGATAGTGGCAAGATTCATCATAGATGCAGTTGGCTCATAGATGCAGTTGACAATCCTTACTCTTAAACATCTCTTTCTCAATGTTGCAATGAGAACGACCTAGAGAGTGTGTTACCACACTGCTGGAAGGGCATGAAGTAAGAGTATTAGCAACTCAATGGAAGACCGGGTCACTGGCATGAACAACCTTCTTTTGAGTTACTAATAGCGATGGCCTCCAACGAGCGATGGCCTCCAACACGCGATTCCATTGCACCTGGAGTTTTGCTCATTGTGTTTCTGGGTTTGTCACCCATCGGCACCTGAAGCGCAGGTGGCGTGTTCAACAACCGGGCGGAGGTGGGGAGCCTCACATGCACTTTGGGGAGGACGACCTTTGCAACTTTTTCCAGGAACGACCACCATTTTGCAAGTATTAAATTGTGTTCATAAAAACCGCCTGTTGCAACTGGAGACAGTTGCTCGACAGTTTCAATCACCTGAACACACCATTCGGACTGAGGAATTACCTGCTCTGACATTTTCTCTAAGGGCAACACAAACAAACAGAAACTATGTCAGATGGTCAGATGGTCAGATGGTCATGCAGCTTCACCCACACCTCTCCCATGTGCAACACCTCAAGATGTGCACTGAGCCATGGTGTTGATCTAGCCTTCAACCTCGGGCTGATGTAGCATTGTGTCACTTCACTAGATACATCAATTCCCATGCTGGTGATCAACATGCGGCACACACTTTCTTTGAGAAGCTCGGAAGATTCTGCCCAAAATCATTTTGGAACAGACAGGAGGATTGCGAACGTCCGTTACCCAGGTCATCCTGGGTGCCTTGGGCACGGCTCTGGATTTGTTGGCCCAACATTTGAAGGTGGACCCTGCAGCCAGGTGCGGTGTTGGATTCAGCATTCTGTGGGGGGGTTAGGTAGTGTCGGGAACATCAAACCTTTCTAATAAGCGTTCTTGGTGGTGGTAGCGGCAGCAGTAATAATGATGACACAAATAGGTAGACACATATTATTATATTAGTACCAATACTGGTAATTACTAATAGTAAAAGCAATTACGGGGTAGTTGAGACCAGGACCCACAGCCTTTTAGAAGCGTTTGAATGCTCAAAGCTTTCGAAGGTTCTGGATTTCATAAGTGCTGGATTTTAATCTTCACCAACAATTCTAGAGGCATTCCAACCGTAAAGGAGCCACCATTCAACTGCCTCCTCGAGTCAACAACTGACTCAGAAGTCGTTGGATGGAAGTGGCCTTTCTTTATTAGGCTTGATGTACAGCTGCTGGCCTTTCGTGGCAGTGTGGGGGAGCAGGCCCAGATGACACTGACGACTGATTGGACCTCCAATGGATCACTGGACTGTAAAAGATGTGCAACCAGCGAGTTCACAGAGAAAGACAAGATCCTTTTTTTTGAATCTAGTCTAGTGCTTGCCAGATTTGATTGAGTGCAACCCATTCAGCGTTTCAACGCTGGCTTTTCAGGACCGCCTCACCAAGATCATCCAGCTCTTGGTGCCAGCGACCGCCCCAGTGGCCCCGGCCGCCGCAGCTGCAGCCACCACACCTGCTGCACCCACTGATTTCACAGCCACAGCTTCGTCCACTGCCGCGGCTGCCTCGGCTGTGCCCTACCGTGCCGTGTCGGACTCGCCGCTGGCGCGTGCGTTCGCGGCCTCAATAGCCTCAGCGGCCTCAGCGGCCTCAGCCGCCTCAGCCGCCTCAGCCTCAACGGCTGCTGCTGAGCGTGCAGATTCAGACGCCGCGACTGTGCCGGCGTCAACACCATCTGCTCCAGCAACAGCACCTGAGCGGGAGGGCGCCCCTGCTGCCAGGGCTGGTGGATCTGGCGAAGGTCCAAAGTGGAAGCTGGAAGCCAGGTCAGCATCGCTGCTGGATGCATTGCTTGATGATGATTGAAAAGTCACCTGTGGTTGTGGGACGGTGAGTGCTTAGTGACTTAGTGTTTGGCTGGCTGGCTGGCTGGCTGACTGACTGACTGACTGACAGACATTTGGTCCTCGCGTATTTCTGCAACTTGGCGTAACTAGCCCGTTTGTTTCGTCAGCGCAACAAAGTGCAGTACGTCAGCTGCAACCGCAGGTCTTTTTAATTGCTGCAGGTTATTAGCATGGTGGATCGAACACATTGGGGCATCATTCGGGTAAATGACACAGTCTCGGCAGGTGAGTTGAGAGTGAAAGTCATTCTGTCAAGCTAGCGGTTGATCATGTTGTGTTGAGGCAACAAGGGTCGTTTTACAAACCGAACATTTGAACAACGTACAACTCTAATAATATGCCTTTGTTTTTCAACTTTGGTCGCCATTGGATTCAACGAGCCATGGCCGTGAGTTGGGACCTGATGGTGCTATTCTTGCTCGGTAGGAAACTCAATTGGGGCCCCTTCGCACGACCTGAGCGTGGTGCGCAAGATGAATCGAAGATGTCCAATCGTTTGGTTCGGGAAGACTTGGAGTAGAGAAAGAGTTTCCTCCATAGGTACATATTTGTCCCTGAACCATTCAATAAACAATTTTCCTTTGAGCATTCACGTTTGCACCTCTTGAGCAGCACAACTCTTGGCAAGCTTTGTCAGCGTGGCATGCAGTTGTAATGCAGCATGTCCATGCTGTCCCGCAGTCGCGTAGAAGCCGACACCTCATGTCATCGCATTCTTCCTGTTTCTGCCTGTGCCGTCAATGTAAGTAGACTCAGAACTAGGTCGGAGGCCCGCTTCAGCTAATTCTGCCCGGTATGGTATGTGGGAATCTGCGAACTTCATTGTCTTTGGCGCATACCTTTTGTACAGCTCCAACCAGCCGAGTCGTGAACGGGAAATCCAATTTGTTCCTGCTGAGCTGACTGGCGATTTGCATGCTCAACAATGCAACAAGCAAACGCACATAGTATCAACTACCAGCAGTTCTTTTTTAAAATACTTTTAAACACCACATTTAAACATACATTTAAGGTAATGTGTGGCTTCGCTTCACAGGCCAAGCTAAACAGTCGCTCTCCCGATCCGGTTTCAACCGAGAGATGAGCTTTTGAGCATTGGTGACCAGCTTCGGATTTGGCTCGCCTGAAGAGAAGGGTTTTGGCCTGTACTTGTTTGACAGATTTTCTGATACCCTTGAGTTGTGAATAGGGCTGCCAGTATGAGCATGATGGTGGGATATCGCATTTTTTTTAGTCTTTGAGACATTTTGGAAAAGGCGCTGCCGGCTGCCCACCCCTTTGAACTCGTGTTTCACCCAACTAGGAGCGCGCCACCCAGAAGCTGGTACGACTCCAAACAGGGAGTCTACGACAATATAGAGCTAAATCGTCCAGCTCCCTGTTTCGATCCTCCACACAGACCAGTCCTATCTCCAACTGGATTCAACTTGGACTCGTGTAAGCCTGTTTTAAGTTGGACTTTGCAGCTTTGTTTGCAGTGTCATAGAATACCCAGCCAGAACTTTGCAAGCAAGCAACTAATAACTTCAAGATCACTTGGGGGCTTCCTGTTTGACATGTACTTCACAGCCGAGTCGACTGTTCCGGCTCTCAGTTTGCCGAAAAACACACCAAGTGCCTCTTTCTCTTTCGGTCCTTGGCGATGTTTGAGTCGGAACGGCAAGAAGCAGAAGATGAAGGTGTAGGTTGTGGGCAATGGCTTGCTTTATCCAAGCTACACCACACATGGGGACTCTATACTTATCGGCGGGCAACAGGGTCTTGCGCGATACCAGCAACACTTTTTTCCACATTTAAGGTAGATAGTCCTAGAAACAGAAACTGTCACATCTGCTCTGTTGGCGTGACTAGTTGCTTCCTCCCCTGAGTCAGCGCGAGCCACCGAGCCTTCTTGAGCAACGTCGCGCTCCTGCTTGTTGCGTTTCTGGTCAGTGCTTATGGAGAGATTGACCAGTTGGAGTAGATGAAGACATTGACCTTGGAACAGACCTTTATGATGCGCAGAGACCGAGACCTTTAGTCAAGGCTTCACGATGGGCCCAACTCCAACCAGCTTCTTCTTGTCCTCTCAAGCCTTATGAGCAGGTGTTTGCCATGCTGGTTTGTTCCAACCCCCACTGCACCTGAAAGTGTCCAGTTTCTGAGTCTGCCTGCGAACAGGTTTGCTTCTGGTTGTGCGAACGATGCAACTCGACTCGTGTCGTTGCTATTTCAAATTTCTTGGAGTGAGGCAGGATCCAACAGGCTTTCAAGCATGGAGTCAAAGCTGCGCACCCCTTAGCTCAAAGCTTGGATCCCGACATTTGCACGTGCGCAGGATGGCCGTTCTGTTAGGAAACTCAAGTTCACTTTTCCTTGGAAAGTCTCACTCTCTGTCAAATATTTGCTTGTTTGATGACCTTTTGGGGATAGGAGATGATATGATTGTGATCAGCCGACATGTCAATCTTTGCCTTGTATTTGGCTGATGGAGGCCCAAGGCAGCCTCGCGCAGTTGTGAGGAGAGATGGCGAGCTTGTTCAATTGCGTTTTGCGGGAGCTGGTCAGGCTGAATGAAGCGCTGGTGACGCAGCGAACCAGAGTGACTCGAAAAAGGTGTAGTCATTATGGTCGATTAACCAAAGGCTTTCGCCTTTGATTGGGCTCGCGGACCTGTAGCCAAGTCTATTCGGTGTTGTGCCTGTGGGTCTAACCATTGCATTTGTTTTGGCGCATTTCCCGTCGTTCTTTGACATACCAACAACAGTCGACAGGCAAGCAGAAGTTTGGGTCAACGACAGCTGCTTCAGCTTGCCCTTCAATTTGCATGAAGCAGCGAGTTTGAATCTGCCTGACATTTGGCCAAGGTCTTTTTTGCGCTCCTTCTATCGCTTGTTGCTACTTCCAGTGGACGAAGATGTGGAGCAGCAGATGAGCTCATTTGGTTTCAAGAGTCATTCTGGTTGTGGGTGGCGGCCCATTTTGGTCAAGTCTGGCGGACATCGCGCACAGGAATCCACATATTTCCTTATTTTGGATGCACTCTTTCTGTGCAGCTTGACGGAGCCGGGTTCCAAACAATAGTTCAAACCAGGTACCTTTATGATATTTCCAGCAGCCTGCGCTGTGCGACAGGTTTATACCGGCCAATAGTTTGAATGACGCCTCAAGCCCACATCGTCTGGAAGAACGTCACGTTCGCGCTAGTTTTTGCTGTGTTTTCCGACCTTGCTGGATCTTCAGGGGGAACCGTTTGTGTGGTAGATATATAACTACTTGTGCCTTTGATGATCCGGGTGGCGCACAGAAACACAATTTCACCAAGTCAACCCGATATCACACGTGGGAATCCAACCACTTTCTTGTTTTTGCCAAGTTCCTCTTGTACAGCTTAGCCAAGGCACGATACAAGCAACCGGTATTGGGAGGCCTTACAGTTTCAATTGCTAAATGAATTTTCAAGCTTGAACCAACCTCAAAGGAATTTTATTTCTATTTGTACATTGTGTAATTGTGATTGCTGCTTGTTTCGCGATTGCCTGGCAAGTTCGAGCCTCCACTCCAAACGAGCATGAATCAATGCCCCAAGATGACGCATTTGTTTGACGCCGCCTAGAAGCATTTGCAATCCAACGCGCAGATTTGATATCATTCAATTTGTCTGTTGCGTTCACAATACAAATCCTCGAAGATACAAATCCTCAAAGTTTACTTGGTGAGTACCAAGAAGCGCATGAGCTAGCTTTGCAAAGGGCATTTGCTTGGCGTTGTGCTCGCGAAGGACGAAGCAATATCGAGTTGAGGTTTGATGACTTGGGTTCAAGTCCGACAGGGCATGACATGACTCTTTGTGGCCTGCCAGGGGCCGATGCCACTGGCCTTGGATATGGCCTTGAATGTTCGGCCAAAGACAATGAGAGATGACAGCTGTTTGACAGTTCACTATCTGACAGGTCCTGCCTATTGCTATTGGCCCTTGAAGCCTTTACGTTGCTGCTCGTTCCGCGGACAGTTCTGTGAATGAAGTTTGAGCTGGATTTTGTCAGTGCTGTGGGAACCTGCTGCATCTACTTGAGATTCACTTTTCCCATGGATGACTTTGGCATGAAGATGGGAGACGATGTAGTGAGCCTTCACAATAGTGCTTGCTGCCGGCAAAGCAGGCTTTTGCGCGACCGCCAAGTCTGCCTAGGCATAGGAAACGAGAAGCTGCACTCGGCAGAATACACAGATGTATTCCTTTTCCGATGCAACTTGCCTTCTCTAACTCCTTGAAGAAAACATATCGCAACTGCTAAGAGGTGTAGGATGTTAGTTCTAGAGCAACCTTCAAGTCCTTGTTTCTTTGACGAGTTTGCTGTTGCGTTGCATGCGCCATTATTGAGTTTCACACGAAGCATCAGACATGACATGAGGTGAGTGTGTGAATGGCTGATCCGTCATACTGGCACAGTGGCCCATTCTGCGCTTGCTGTCCATGGGAGAGCCAAACACCAGAGAACAAATGATCCTTTTGCGCTCCAGCAGTCCCCTGTCTGAGCCCATCAAGCCCAATTTCATTCCAGTGGAAACTTTTGGTGATGATCTAGGTCCTAGAAGAAGACCGATCGTAACCAGTCCAATTTTTGGTGCTGCCTGTCAATTGCCGTTGCTGAATTTTATTCACGATGATTCGTGAAATGTGAAGACCAGAACTGAGATGACTTTGAGCGGCTAACGCAAACAAGTGCATTGGTTCGCACTGATTGCCTTCCACACTGGAGCTATTTCAAAGAGAGATGATAGCCTCCACAGGTTCTGGTTGGTTGTGGCAATTGGCCAGGCTTCACTACGACTGAAACTCGCTCTCAGTTTCGTTCCGGCAGAGGAAAGCTTTCGTTGCTTGGGGTGACTGCAGTATAAAAACGACGCATAACGATGGGACTTGTTTTGAGAACTCGTGCAGCAGTGCTTGGCATTGACAAGGTCACTTGATAGCCAATGTGGAACTTGGCCCACTTCTGCGTGTGTGGTGCCTCCCTTTCGTACAGCTTATAACTATACTGGGTCACGAGTCCTCAACTTTGTGTTAATGAAAATAGAACAACATGCCTTTGTGAGCTT